TTTCTTTCCAAGGATACATCATGGGAAAGCTGAAAAAAGTTTAGAACAGTATCAGCAAACTTCTTTGTGTGGAGTCTGGTCAAACCCCGATGGCAGCCATGTTTGTTTTTATTATTAGAGGCCACTTACGCACGTAATCATTATTAGAAAATTGCATTTCCTTATATGGTAGGATGAAAATACCCTGTAAATTACTGCAAAATTACGACACACTGTAACTTATGGCAGTACGGTGACCGATGTATAATAATAATTATTATTATTATTATTATTATACACCCTATACTTCTCTTACTTATCATGAACATACCTGCAAAACGTGATTCACATCTAGTTCTACATGGTTCTCATACATATGAATATTTCTGTTGAAAGATGCATAGTCACTTGTTATAATTGAAAAATTGATATGTTAACTCTATATTTCATATACATCTGCAGTATGTGGCTGTACAGAGATGTATAAAGTGAGTGACTGAGGGGAACCTGAGAGTGGAAACTGTAATTTATGCTACCTGGTCTTATAAGTCTATAAGTTATAAGACCATTGTACACGCGATACAAAAAACAGGCAACGTACAAATGTACACAAGGAAAGTAACAATACAAGTGTTGTACTTTTAAAAAATCACACTTTGCTTTATGGGAGAAGAGAGGGGAGAGGTCAGTTGTTAGTTGAGTGGCTTATATTGAATGGAACACTGCATACATTCTAAGCAACATTTTACAAATAAAATCTTTGTCACTTTTTCCACCATTTGACTATTTTAAGCAATACTGTATATTGAGTTACTAAACATTTTCCAATATAAATGAATATGTAACAGTGGCCAATACAACATTTTTTTTTTCTTAGCCATAGAAAAGCTTGATTAGCCACTTGTTAAAACTGGGTGAATATAACATCATGAAAGATCACAATATTTTTTCAGATAATTTTTTTTTTTTCAATTTTGGTTGATTACTAAAAGTTGAAAATTGGTGAAAACCTAGGTAATATCATCATTTTGAGAATTAACTGCTGTATAGAAGATTCCCCATCAATTCTCATATTAAAATGTGGCAAAATTTGTAAAGATCAAATGTACAAATACCTACCGGAGGACGGCATCTCTGAGTAGTCTTGTTAAAAAATGATTGAACAGAAAATAATTGAGGGGTGTCTCTAGTGAATCAGTAGATTTAAATATATTCCATGCTGTGGATATCACCATTGCAGCTTGAAGACCACAGTCTCGTCCTGTCTTAGCCAAGTAATTTACCAGTATCATTCTGCGAGAAAGCAAATGTAAGGTACTGTGGAATACTTTATTTTCGCTGAAAAGGCTTTTTGGGCGTTTTTTATGGAATTTATTTTCACTGATTTTTGATGAGTTGAATGTGAAATATATAAAAAAAAGTATATTTGCTGGATTTTATTTTCACGGTATCATCCCTTCAGCGAAAATAGCGAAAATAAATTCTAAGCGAAAATAAATTATTCTACAGTATTTCAATAAACAATATGAGCACTGCAGTGAATAAACAGTGTAAAGTTTCAACTGCAAGTGAAGAATGCCTGTAAAGATTGATAGGTTAGTCTTTGAATCCTACTTGGTTAGATGAGAAAGATGGTCACACAGCCCTATCACAAAAGTAAAAATGAAATATTCACTGCTATAAAGAAGTTAGAATGTACATGTGTGCTTATGCATTTTATAGACAGAATGAGACATATTTTAATGATTAGGCATACAATAAAATTAACAAATTCACTGGAATGGTAATTCAACATTCTACATATAGTGAAACCAAACTTACTTTTTACCTCAATTGATAGGCAGATATCAATTGAACCTCTTGGTAATTACTCAATCATTAGAAGTGTTCAGTATTGGAGTAATTATCAAAAAATGCCCAAGAGTTTCAAACAATATCTTTCTATTGATTGGATATAAGGTAGATATGGCTTAAAGTAGCACTAACAACTACCGTTAAAGTCCTAATATAAACCGCATACGTAATAGTAACCGCACCCCCAATTCCGGCTTCAGGGTTGAAGAGTTCAACAAAAATTGAAAACTTGAAAAGTACCTATTACTAACCGCACCCCCAATTCAACAAGACCGTCACTGACTTCATTGTTTCAACCAGCTGGTCCAAAACGGCATTGTTCCTAAACCTATTCATTTGTTTCGACAACGTGCCTAAAAATAGTCACACCTATTTATTGTTCAGCGGTGATAGGATGTCAGACACGCAATAAAACTGCTTTTGTTCTGGCGGCAACCTCTGTCAATACTCGTCTGAATACGTCTGTGTTTCGTAAGTTTTTGACAATGAGCTGTTATCACCGTAAAAGTATTAAATTCTTCTTCAATGCTCAGTTTATCTTTCGAAAACAAATAATTTCTTGATTTACAAAAAAAATCATGTCGTTTTCCCATGGAAATCAAAGCCAAGACATCGCACTACATTATCGGTAAATCTCTTCCGTGTTCACCATGAGGTCGCTGAACTTTCATTAACATATTTAAATGAGCTATGTAATTTAGACACGTGGGCACCATCCAGCATTTTGATTGGTTAATTAGCGACATGACCTATTCGGTCAATAAAACGTCACGTGTGCATTCAAAACATGGGCCGGTATCGTATCGACCGTTTACATGTGACTGAATCATTCGTTTACGGTGAAACTACGGAAACGGATTTATTTTTCGTACGTTATTGTAATCACTAATGAATAATAATTGCCAATTTAA